CCGCGCCGGTGCCGCGGGCTGGTGACTTGCGGAGAGAAACGCGGCACTTTCCCCGGCGGAGCCTACTCACGCCTCTGTTCACGCCGTGGCCTCGCCTGCCATTCGCGTTCCCAGGCTCAGCCCTCACCCCCGTGCGCAGCCGCCCCTCACCCGTTTGCACCCGCAGCCCCTTCACGACTGCTCTCAGCCTCCCACTTCACTTAGGTCCACTCTGGGGACTGGAAGGCATTCGGCCTTCAGCCGAAACGTGGACTTTAAGTTATTCAGGGATTGATGATCGGGTCCACCCTCTTCCTGACTGTCTCTACCTTTCCGTGTCCCATTGCCGCCTGGACGAGGCAGGAGTCGGTGTGATACCGGCCCGGGCTGGTTTGCGGGAAGAGCTGCTGTTTGTAAATTTCGTGGGCGTACGCCTGGCACAGCCTTGCGTGTAGGATGTTCCTGATATTTGAATATTAGGACAGTTGTTTTCAGTTACTGCATCCCTATACTCTAGCTGAGAGGGCTTTGCTGTGGGTGTCAGATGTGCTAAGAGAAACATTTTCTGAGGACGAGGAGGGTTTGCTAATAATTGATCATGGATGGATTCAAGAGTTGCTCAGGTGGCAGCCGCAAAGTAGCCTTTACTCTGTAACCCTTGTCCAGGACTCAGAGTGCACCCAGGACCAGATAAAGATCGGGGTGAAAAGGCAGGCTCTTTGAAAGGATTGGTTTCCAGGCTGATGTATCATCAAGAAGGTTATGTTTATGGTGCCGGGCAAATAGACGTGCCCAGAGAATCTTTAGTTGGCGTGTTCTGTCTGATAACAACAGTCCTTTTAACTAGTAACTCAGGAGCAGTGGGAAGATTGACTTGTCCTTGGCCTGAAGTTTGGGGGGGAGGGGATGCCCCTTGTAAGGAAGGCATTTTAGGGCGTTTAGTCTTTGCTTGGAAATTTATCCATCTGCTTCTTTAGAATAGACGGTAAAACCTGAGAGGTGAAAGGGAACTTAGTGATTATCCAACACTGAGCCTCCTTTCCAGATAAAGAAACTGAGCCCAGGGACTAGCCCAAGATCCCACAGCTGGACAGCAGCAGAGTTCAGGTGCTAACCCATCTCCCTTGCTTCCACACCAGGGCTCTTCTGTCTGCTCTGCTGTGTTGTATCAGGTCACCCACCATCGGGAGCTCCCAGCATGTGTATATTCTCAGCAGACCAGAAGATGAGCACATTTATAAGACGACACATTGAGTAACTTTCATAGGTCCTGGGCTGATCTGGACTCACGTTTCCATCTGCTTTTCCAAATCCCCAGGTCCCTGTGGTTCCCCTCGGACTTGGCTGAGCTGCGGGAGCTCTCCGAGGTGCTTCGAGACTACCGGAGGGAGCACCAGGCCTACGTGTTCCTGCTCTTCTGCAGTGCCTACCTCTACAAACAATGCTTTGCCATCCCCGGCTCCAGCTTCCTGGTCAGTGCCCCGTCCTCCTTCTGTGCGTGTCAGGAAGCCTCCTTCTGTCTCTGTAGGGGGGTCCTTAGGCTGCAAATCACACAGTTCAGAGGACAGACTACCGTGACTACCCTGTTTGGACAGCTTCTCCTGTGGCAGGCACTGTCCTAGTTGTTTTACCTGCATGACCTTATTTAATGCTCCCAACAGCCTCATCGTGTGGGGAGAAGTTAAGTTACTGTCCAAGGGGACAAGGCGAGGAGTGGGTAGGGCTGGGAGCTGCACCTGCTTCTGCTCAGCTCCAGGGCCTGCCTTTCCCCTCAGGTTTGCTGCCTTTGTTTCGAAGGCATCAAGAGCCATGGCGCACTGTCCTTGGGAGACATACAGATGTACCCTGGGCTGGGTCAACTCTACCTCCTCACAGCCCCCAGGATGTTCTGCATTTTGGCACTGCTTTTGACTTTTCAAAAAACAATCTGTTTTCGGGGGGCCCAAGGACCTGTTTCTTATTCTCAGCACTTGTATTCCTTTGCCTGACATAGGGAGGTGTCTTTGTAAGTGTTTAATGAACAAATGCAAGTTGTTTGTGGTGGTGTTAGGCTACGGAGGACCGGGAAGTTTCTCTGATGTGGAGAGAACAAGTCATTCTGATTTTCCAGCCACAGTCTTAGACCCGAGCTCGTTCTCCGGCTATTGGATGCTTCTCATCAGTTGCCATCTCAGTTTACACAGAAGACTCTCTGCTCTCCTCCCAGCAGCATTTTATGTATATAGGCATGGGGTTGGTTTGAATCCCAGCTATGCAACCGTGGGCAAGCCATTTAACCTCCCCCGCCCTGTGTCCTTGTCTATAAAACAGGATACTCCTATGTAACCCCTAGGGTTGCTGCGTGGGAAGAGTAGGTGTAGAGTGGCTGGCATGGTGATGGGGCCTGGCACGCAGTGGCACTCAAGCACTTGTTGAGTGATTGAGTGATGGAGCAGGATAGCCTGCTTCTCTCTCTCCTGCCCCAGCCTCTTTTCGCAACTACAGGCTTAGGCTGGGTCTGCTTAAGCAGTTTCTTCGTTGGAAACTGGAAGAAAAGCAAATGTGTCCATGCCAAGAGAGGCGGGGGAGGTGTGTGGAGTTTGGGTACCTGCCTTCCCTCTTGAGCTGATCCCTCCTTAGGGCAAAGAGCCAGCTGCCACCTGGATCTTGTCTGTGCCTAGTGTGATCTTGGGCACGATACTTAATCTCTCACCCATAGAATGGGGTAAGGATAGCAGATGACACAGGGTCATAGTGAGGATTAAATAAGACATGTAGTCAAGCACTTAACACATGTATGTGCTCAGTAGACCCTCACCTCCTCACTTCCACATTCCCCTTTTACTTTTTAAAATATATATATATTTTTATTGATTTCAGAGTGGAAGGGAGAGGGAGAGAGATAGAAACATCAATGACGAGAGAATCGTCAATCGGCTGCCTCTTGCATGCCCCCTACTGGAGATTGAGCCACCTGGGCATGTGTCCTGATTGAGAATAGAACCCTGATCTCCTGGTTCACAGGTCAATGCTCAATCACTGAGCCATGCCAGCCAGGCCCCTTTTACTTTCTGTCTTGTACCCCACATTTGGCAGGATGTTAACCAGCCAAATTACATTTAGGAAGTATCAGCTCACTTTATCATTTTTGTTAACCTAAGACTTTTTTGAGTGTCACCTAGATCTCTGGTCAACATGAACTGTCCCCCTCCCCCCCCGCCAAGTATTAGCATATCACATAGAAACAAGACATTTTATATAGCTTGTGTGGTCTTACTGAGGAAAAATCCATTATTTGTGTTCATATAAAGGGGTAAAAATAATGTATGAGTTTCACTTCTGCCTTCTCGGAGCACCCCTGTTTGCAGGATGTACATGGCAGGCTGGGTGCTGTATACTCCTGTTTTGTCCTTTAATTCTTCCTGCCCTCTGAGGTCTTAATCCTCATCCCTGGTTTAAAGGTGAAGAGCACAAAGCCAGGGTTGTAGTTCTCAGCTCTTTCATCACTTTTCACTCACTTCTTTAAAATGGGAGTTGGGTTTGGGCCAGAAGGGTGGCGGGAACTCACGACTCGACCTCCAGGACTGGTAGCTGCCAGATGTGCTGGTGGCTGAGGATTTGTTTTCTTTGCAGAATGTTTTAGCCGGTGCTTTGTTTGGGCCATGGCTGGGGCTTCTGCTGTGCTGTGTGTTGACTTCAGTGGGTGCCACGTGCTGCTACCTGCTTTCCAGTATGTTTGGCAAACAACTGGTGGTCTCCTACTTTCCTGATAAAGTGGCCCTGCTGCAGAGCAAGGTAAGGGGCAGGGGTACGTCTGAGTGCTGGGCTCCCATAGTCACCTCAGGGAGCTGGGGGCAGGGGTGAGGGGCAGGGATTTCCCACCGTGTTCCTCCGCCTGCTTCTGGGAGTCCTAGGGGTTCTTTTGCTGTCTCCAAGAGGCACAGACCTGGGATCAAATCCCAGCTCCATCATTAGTAGCTCTGGGACTTGAGGCAAGTTCCTGACTTCTCTGAGCCGCAGGTACCTCTGTTTTAAAACAAGGAAAACAGTCTCTACTCAGGGGGTTGTTGGGAGGTTTGGGGACAGAATATATAAAGTATCTAGAACAGTGCCTGGCACCAACAGATTTTCAGCATCTGGAAATGCTTTCTGCTTCCTAATGGCCTTGTCTTCTTTGGCTACAGGTGGAGGAGAACAGAAACAGCTTGTTTTTTTTCTTACTGTTTTTGAGACTTTTCCCCATGACACCAAACTGGTTCTTGAACCTCTCGGCCCCGATTCTGAACATCCCCATTGGGCAGTTCTTCTTCTCTGTGCTTATTGGTAAGAAGCTTTTGGAGTGTGTGAGTCTTCAGAGTTGTGCCTGCATCAGCATCTGAGGCCCATGAAGTGCGTCTTCAGGTGTTCACGAAAATCCTGATTTCAGATCTACTCAGGCTTGAACAAGGAACCTCAAAAAAAGACTTTCAGAAAAAATTGGACTGTTCATCCTACAACTGTATTTAGTGCCTATGGTGTGCCAAGCACTGTGCAAGACACGGGGTTAGAGGATAATGTATAAAGCACATGACTTGGCCCATGCGAGGTGCTCAGGAAATACTAGCAGGAGAAGCAGGGTTGGAAGGAAGGTATGTGGGCAGAAAAAAGGAACAAGAGCAGCGGACTTCCTGTCTGGCTTTGGCCCCTGTTTAATTAAGATGTGCCTTAGGAAGAGCAGGTACCACTGGAGTTCCTTCCTGCCTCCTGACAGTTGTGTGACCTTCAGCAGGCTGCTTTGCCTCCCTGGGCCCCGTGGCCAGATGAGGGGCGAGAGCAGTGTTTCTCAATGTGTAGGCCGTGGACCACCTTTATCAGAACGCTAAAGTGCTAGCACCCTATTAAGTCAGTGACTTATTTTCTCCTGGAAATAAACCATTTTCTTTAAGCCTAAGGCAAGGATTGCCTCGCTTAAACCTTCAGAGTGTGGATGGGAAAAATACCCAGGGCTTCTAGGTCAAACAAAACAAATGTGTGGTTGAGCAGCTGCTATTAATAGGGGATTCTTGAGAGAAATTGAGGTTTTAAAATGAAGCAAAATCAACCACAGTTAATTCTGGTCATATCAGCTTTCAGACAAAGTGCCTCAGTGCCTCGGTTAGCAGCCTGTAATTACCCAGGTGGCACAAAGGTCAGGACTCTGGAGACCAGAGCTCCAGTCTCCTCTCTGACAAGCTGTGCAACCTTGAGTGGTCTGTGATCAGCTGTGGGAGAGGGCTGGATCACCAGGGGGCCCCAAGCCAATCAGAGTGGAGAGGCTTTTAAACTGCAGGTTCCTTATGCTCTCTCAGACCCAGGTAACCAGAATCTCTGGGGTGGAGCCCTAGGATGTGTTTTTGTTCACTTCTCCAGGAGATTGTTGTCACCAGCCTGTCTAGCCGCCACTCAGACTTTTGGGGTCCAATGAACTTGATGACCTCTTAGAAACAGTGTAGACCATGAAGAGAACACGGTGGTTTTTATGTTATGTATACAGTAGGTCTCATCATGCTGGTGCTTCTCCTTACTTGGCTCTTGGCTGCTCAGAACCAGATTTGGGGCCCACCTCTAGCAAGTGGGTGATCCTTATGCATTTTTGTCCTAACTCTACTCCCTTATTTTATTCATCACTCATTGTGTTTTTCTGGTTAACATCTGTTTAATCTTATTGTAGTGTATGTATTTTTGTAAACCATCTCAAGTCCTTTTGTTAAATAAGGCAGGTGTGTGTGGGGAGTGAAGAAAGGAGGGAGGAAGTGGAAAAGAAGGGAGAGAGTAATATGTTTAGGAGTTAAGAGCTGTGAATTCGTGGTGACATTTCTGATGGTTAATGTTCTTCTTTTTCCTTTTCTTCTTCCAGGTTTGATCCCCTACAACTTCATCTGTGTGCAGACAGGCTCCATCCTGTCAACCCTTACCTCGCTGGATGCTCTTTTCTCCTGGGAAACTGTCTTTAAGCTGCTGGCCATCGCTCTGGTGGCCTTAGTTCCTGGAACCCTCATAAAAAAGTTCAGTCAGAAAGACCTGCATTTGAACGAAACAAGCAATGCCAATCATCTAAACAGCAGAAAGGCCATGTGATCTGGATGGTTTTGGTTGTGTGTCCCTGGACTCTCCTGCTTCTGTGTGTCATGGCTGTGGTCCTCTACAGCCCCTCCTTGTTTTTTAATTACCCTCAACGGGTGGCGTGGACAGTACTCATCCGGGCGCAGTGTCTCGTCGACCTGCATTTGAACGAAACAAGCAATGCCAATCATCTAAACAGCAGAAAGGCCATGTGATCTGGATGGTTTTGGTTGTGTGTCCCTGGACTCTCCTGCTTCTGTGTGTCATGGCTGTGGTCCTCTACAGCCCCTCCTTGTTTTTTAATTACCCTCAACGGGTGGCGTGGACAGTACTCATCCGGGCGCAGTGTCTCGTCATGAAGGACACCGTGCTGTAGAAGGTGAGTTACAGCAGGTTCTCAAAGCAGCCCTGGTTCTGCATG